TATTGTTCACCCATCCTTCAATCTTCGAAAGAACGTCAAATTTTTTACACTCACTGTATTGAACTTGAAAGAAGAGGGATTTTCTTGGCCTTCGGACTTCCACACACTCCCGTCAGCAGAAATCCTGTTTCAGTTTAAATCTCCTTTCTTGTTTCTCAGACCTTTCTTCTTTTCCGCTGGCCTTCAAGACTTTTTTCTGGACTTATTATTGAATTGTTGACGTTCGCCGATTGCTTTTGAATACTCAGGTTTCTTTGACGACTCATTCGACTTGCTTCCGTAGCCGTGATGCTTGCCTCTGCTGTGGTCTTGGCGTACCAAATTGGCTTCGTTGATATTGGCGTCTTCTTTCGACGTCCGCCGTTCTTCTACTTTCAAACTGGATTGCTAGCTCAAATAACTTTTCCAGTGTAGTCGGATTTCTTAATTCAATAAAGTCTTGCACTTGGGCAGTAACCTCGGCAAAATCAGTTGAATTATTTCAGGATCCGGACGGTTTCCATACAAGAGCTTGAAGACGTGAATTTTTCTTAAAATAAAGCTTGAGAGATTTTCGATTCTTTGCTGATATATACTGAAAAGTTCGTTTCTAATTTCGCACGATCCCTTACAACAGGGAAGGCTTTTAGTAGGGCAGTCTTGAAATTCTCGTAAGTATAGGGGACTTCCTGCTTGCCCAAAGACTTCTGCTATACATTTGAACCAGTTAAGCGCTTGGCCCTCAAAGCGCTGGTAGCTAAGGTAACTTTTTGAATTCGTGCACGGGGTAGAGCATGAAGTGGTCATCCAATTTTTCCAAAAATTGTTACCGGTGAGTTTCCATTAAATGTTGCTTCTGGTTTCATCGAAGCGCGCATGGTCTGGACGACTGTAACCAATCCTTTCGGGCGGCAGCTGGCATTTCTGGATGCTGAGCCGTTCTGCAGGCAGCACAGGTTCTTCTTGAAACTCGGCCATGGTTTTCTTCTTCGTTGGCGCCACTATCAGGGTCAAATGTTCCTTCTAACCTTCTTCGGGAAACATGCAAGGACCTGACTCGGAACAGAGAGCTTACTAAAGCTATGTTCAAACTGTGGGAAGTAAAAGGATACACCAGAAGGGTATAAAACCCTTTATTTTTTCTATTTACAATACTTCCGTACTTCGGAATACACGGACCCGCTACTCGGGGTCTAACGTAAAAATATAAAAATAGAACTAAACTCTAATTTACTCTAAAATATAAACGTGAAGATTGGCCTTATATTAACAGGAAAGCGTATGTAGTACAGAGAAATGTGAACACTACAATACGTTTACAATTTATCAAGAGGATTAAAACCTCTAGCCTGGAAGGCAAACAGCAACTGCGTAACTTCTAAGGTAAGCGGCCTGCTTCGACTCACTGCTTCCTCTCTTTTGCTTGGCCAAAAAGCCACAACTTAAATACTGGCGTTCGCCAGACAACTTTGCATAAATACCTTCACGCTTATAATTCTGCCGGAAGTTAAAATAAGAAGTGATAGTAAAGATTTAAAATAAAATAAACGTTAGTAAAACTTAAGATCCTTACAAAATAACGCGTACTATCGCGCTCTAGACTAAACCTAGACTCAACCGTAAAGAGAATAGCCCTCCATTGCTCAGGCGTCCAGTGGACATGTTGTCGTGCCCACTGCAAACGGTCCCTGCGTTGGGCAAATGGCGTGACTTGAGCGGCACGCAAATGGTTGTTGGCCTCGCATAGAGACCACCTTCGTGAAGGCTTCTACGCACAGCTGACGTTGACACCAACTGGCGCATATGGCCTCTAGAGCTTTGCGCCATATATCTACTACCACCACGTTGACACCAACCTTCCGGTGGCCGCAGCAAGGGAGGATCTAAGAAGAGTCAGAGTAGCGGTTCTATTCCTGAGTGCACATAATGCCAAATATCGGCATCGGCGCTCGTCGTAGCAGTTGGCCGTATTGCTGAACCCTATTGCGAATCGTGATTTGAAATTGCCTCAAAGTCTATGAACCACAGAGGACTCCTTTAGCCCTCTGGCCTTTCTGTTTGATTGTCCAGCCTCTAGCTCCAATGGTTCTATCGTTTCTGTAGGCATGTGCTGGAGACATAGTTACGAATCGGCTATTCAGATTTCTGATGTCACTATCACAGTGAATATGGGGCTTGCTCTCAAACATGGACTTTTTGCTCCTCGCAATGACGTTTCGAGTGCCGCCACTAATTTGATATGGAATTTTATCAGCTACTCTTACTTGGCAACATATTCAATTTTACCTGTTGGCTTTTTTTGAGGGAGTATCTCTATTTTTGTCATTTTTCCTAATTATGATAACCAGTGTATAGGGCCCATGCACTTCGAGTTGCATGCGTAAGGTGTTTGAAAAGATGGAAACAGCCCCTAGTCTATTCTTGGAAAAGAATCATATCGTATTCCTTATCAAGCGTTTTCGAAAGGAGAATGACCATGGGAACATGCTCCGTTTGGAAACATCATTCGAAGCCTTGGGAAGAGCCATGTGTCTCTGTCTTTTTTGACATTGAGAAAGCTTATGATAAGGCATGGAAATATGGTATACTGCGTGATCTTCACGACTTGTGGCTTGCGGGGCAACCTGCCTATTTTCATTAAAAAAATTTTAAGGGCAAGGAATTTTCAAGTCAAGATTGGTGCTGTCTTATCAGACGCCTTTTACAAGATGGGGGTCGGACAGTTTTGTATCTCCCATTCTACTGAACCGATTGTCGAAATTTAACTTGCTTTTTCAATGTCTCGAAAGCGCGACTTAGGATATATATTACATTTATATATCCTAAGTCTGTTCACATTAAAAATCAACTCTGTCTTAAAGCAACTTCCTTCCACTGTTTTAGGATCGTTATACGTTGATGATCTGCAGATTAGCTGTCATGGGGCAGATATGAGACACGTAGAAAAACAACTTCAGATAACTCTGAACCGGATTCAGGACTGGTCAGACAAACAAGGATTCTTGTTTTCGAAGCAAAAGACTGTTTGTGTGCACTTCTGCAGGAAGCGAGATCTCCCTCCTGAGCCTGAGTTACATCTTCATGGATCAGTGATTCCAGTACAACCTGAAGTAAAGTATTTGAGAGTAATTGTTCGATCGAAAACTTACCTTCCTCCCTTATGCGTTATATCTGCGGAAGAAGTGTACCAAAATATTGAATCTTCTAAAAGTCTTGGCGAATACCTCCTGGGGCGCAGAGTGTTGCTCTTTACTTCAGGTTTACAGAGCACTGCTCCGCTCTAGACTAGCTTATGGTTCAGTTATTTATGGATTTGCAGGGCCATCAGTTTTGCTGAAACTAGACCCAGTTCATCATCAGACACTGCAAATATGTTCAGGGGCATTCAAGACATCTCCAGTCCACAGCCTGTATATTAATTGTTATGAACCAGCCCTCCATTTGTGGCGTGAGCAATTATCTCTTCTACAGTATTTTAATATATTGTCTCAACCTGATCATCCTAGTAAGCTATGTTTGCTTGATGACATGTGTAACCTTCTATTTCAAATACGACCATCTTGTGTTCCTTCCTTTTTCTTAACAGCTCGCTTATTGATTGAGGAGTATTCCATATCTAATATATCCACTCAAGAAGTACATCATCTTGTAATCCCACCTTGGGAAGATGCAGGAGTCAAGCTTCTTGGTGTTTTCCAGCGCCATAATAAGCAGAACACTTTCTAAATCGTATATAATCAACTCTTCTTTGAACACAGATATGAATATAGCGGTCATGTGGCTGTATATACAGATGGGTCAAAAACAGATTACCATGTTGAAGCAGGATTCGTGATGGATAACCACATGGAAGGCAGACGCTTGCACTACGCTTGCTTAGTCTTGACATCTGAGCTGACCGCCATATATTATGCACTTATTTACATATTAAAGCTACATCAGAAAACGTTCATAATTTATAAAGACTTGTAGAGTGCATTGAAAGCTTTAGAAACTTTTTCCAACACTCGCAATCCTGCAGTAGTTGAAGTTCTAAAATTAAATTTAAGCTTACAGTTGCGTGAATATCCAGTTCTGTACTGCTGGGTTCCTGGTCATGTTGGGATCAAAGGAAATGAGCTCGCAGACATCACAGCTAAGTGTGCTGTTGATCTGTGCAGCCGGCATGTTCCTCTGATGGATATTAAAAATGTATCAAGTGGCAGCAGCTATGGGATGCTCAAGTTAACAATAAGCTTAAAACCGTGAAGCCTCTAGTTGAATACTGGGACTCTATAGGAAAGCGAAGGGAGGATATAATTCTATCGTGTCTTCGTATTGGTCATTCTCGGGTAACACATAGTTACCTTTTGAAGGCTGAGAGTAAACCTGTTTGTTCCCACTGTGAGAATATTCTTACAGTAAGTCATATTTTAATTGAATGTCTGTATTTTAATTCACTTAGAATGAAGTCTTTTAACAACTCCGACTTGCCTCTTGACCGTATAATCGGGAAAGCAGCCAGTGCTAATTTATTTCAGTTCCTCAAAGAAGGTGGTTTTTGTTATTTAATTTGATTTTCTTTTGATGTGTATTTGGACTTTAGTGCTGTAAATTTTATTGTATATTATATTTTATGATTTCATACATGCATCTCATCTTATACCATTACCCAATTCATGAGTTCCTTCATCTTAACTTTGACCATTTTTATTACATTTTTTTTTTATTTCATAAGTCTGTTCTTGTTTTAAACTTGTGATTGCGTAGAATTTGTGTGTGGATGTGACTGTAACTTGTTTTTAACTATCATGTGTCTGGTGCTAATAACTTCTCCAAGTTATGCGCCAAAATAGTTACCAATACCAATACCTTAGTAGTATCTAGCAAGGTTTATGTTATCAAAGAGAGTACGATCCTACTATATGAATGCATGATTTTGATTTTTTCTCATAAATTTGCTTCCAGTTTTAGTTTGTATTGCTGCTATTAATTTACTCACGTTAATAAAAAGATCTTATAATTTTTATTTACAATCGCAGGTTGAAGAAAAACTTCTACCATTCCCATATGAAACTCAATGTAAAGATTATCAGTCTGAATGGAAAAAGAGGAATGGAAAAGGACCACTTAGTCAGGAAGTAAGTAAACGCCCAATACAATTCTTTGCAGTTATTTTATTTAAAAAATATCTTCAATATTGCCTTATCACCTTCTTTCAAGTATGTACACCTTGCAAAAAAAAGGGGGGGCGGACAGTTCTGTATCTCCCATTCTACTGCACCGATTGTCGAAATTTAACTTGCTTTTTCAATGTCTCGAAAACGCGACTTATTACATTTATATATAGCATTATTCTAACATAGGTATTTTGACACAAAATCGGACTTTTCCTGAAATAACATACCAATTTTTTTTTCCATATTTTGATTCTACGACTCAAATTATGCCAAAGTGCTAAGTTTTGTAAAAAAACCGCGCGAGTTAAAATTCAAAATTTTAGCTCCTTCATCTTAATTGAATTTGGTACATATTTATTAGTATCTCATTTTTATTAAACTTATTAGATTCTTCCTTTGAGATTTCGAGGTTCATTCCAAATAAAATTCTACCCTGTGACGCTGAATTTTTGAAATTGTGGATATGAGCGCGTGCTACTGTTTACGTTTTATTTTCTATTTGTTTACGTTTTATTTAGTTATATATATATATGGGAATATGGAAACACCTTGTGAAATGCATGTTTGAAAAGAAAGTTTGATTTTAATGAAATATGTAGGTGGCGCTGGCGTTTTTGACTACTGACGCCACCTATACAACTTCGTAAATTTGCTAAACAGTTCAGTTGTTGTCGGAGTACTGTTATGTGAGGTTGTCATTGCATTATGTCAGAGTTACAGACTTCGAACGTGGGCAAATTGTTGGAGCACGTATGGTAGGTGCTTCCGTAAGCAAGGTAGCCGAGGTTTTAGTGTTTCAAGAGGTACTGTATCGAAGATTTATTCCGCATATTTGAAAAGCGGAAAAATATCTGCTAAATCACAGCGCAGACGAAAGTGTGTCCTGAGTGATCGTGACAGACGATCATTAAGGGCAATCGTGACGAAAAATAAGAAGACCACAGCTGCAAAAGTTACTGCTGAAATGAATGTTGTGTTACCGAACCCTGTGAGTACCAAAACAATTAGAAGGGAGCTTCATAAACAGGGAATTGCTGGCCGTGCTGCAATTGAGAAGCCACTCATCAGTGATGCTAATGCCCGTAAGCATGAAAAGGTGGTGTTAAGTCATAAAGCCTGGACTATAGAGCAGTGGAAGCGAGTAATATGGTCTGACGAGTCTTCTTTCACATTGTTTTTCCCCACTTCTGGCCGAGTTTACGTCTGGAAGAACGCCATCTCAAGCCTATAATACAGACTGCTTGTTGCCAAGAGTGAAACATGGCGGGGGTTCTGTTATGGTTTGGGCAGCCATATCGTGGTTCTCTGCTAGCCCCATGATAACTGTGTCAGGGCACATGACTGCCAAGACTTATGTGAACATTTTGGCCGATCAAGTTCATCCCATGGTACAAACTTTGTTCCCCGATGGTGATGGTGTCTTCCAAGACGACAAAGCCCCTGTTCACACAGCTCACATTGTCCAGGACTGGTTTTCTGAGCACGAGGATGAGTTGTCCCATCTCCCCTGGCCACCACAGTCACCAGACCTGAATATTATCGAACCTTTGTGGTCTACATTGGAACCGAAAGTGCGTTCTCGTTATCCACCGCCAACATCGTTATCTGAACTTGCCACCGTTTTGCAGGAAGAATGGTATAATATTCCCTTGGCAAACATACAGGAACTGTATTTATCCATTCCGAGAAGACTGCAAGCTGTTTTGGATGCCAACGGGTTTCCTACACCATATTAAGCAAAGAAACATGTTTTTTTAAAGGTGTTTCCATATTTTTGTCCAACCCCTGTATATATGGCGTATAAATGCTGCTATTAATTTAGTAGAAAATCTCGCATTTTATAAGTTTATTTAATCGTGAACATTTAACTTTCGCGAAACTTATTACTCGCTGATATTCGGATTAATTTCCGTGGCATATTAGCGCTCTTTATATCGACAAAATGACTCAGGGTACAACTAGCCTCGAATATTATTCTTTACTAACACCTATGGATTAAAAGAATTAAGGTTTTTTTTTTTTTTTTTTTTTTTTTTTTTTTCCCTGAGCTGAGAAGTGTTTCAATAAATCTAGTAGTTTGATATCTCAATGCTTGCATTCCTTTGATTTTGAAAGTGTGAGGTTCAAAATATATATTGTGAATGACCTGATTATACCTATTGTTATTATTAAAAGTTACATATGAATAGATTAAAAAATATTTGTTGTGAAAAAGATACATCCATTCTGTTTGAACAGTACTTCTTGCGCAGGCAATACATTTAAGAGTGAACAGTTATTAATGGGAGAATAACACACTAAATGTGTAGAAATGCAAATTAGGAAAATTCACTTTGAGTAAAACTGTGCATTGGCTGTTATTATAGAACATATTTTTCATACAGATTGCAAAAGAAATTGCTAAGACTTCTGTTATAATTATGCTTATAGTTGATCTAACTTCGCACGGAAAACTTTCACAAGAAATCCACAATGAATTAATTATTTTGTACAGGAAATTGCATGGAAAATCATTTTCAACCATCTTGCCTAAAGCTCGATAAAGTCATGTAAAATGCCAAAAATATTACTGGAAGCCCATTGGTCCATTCTAGAAGCCACTGCCTTAGCGGCCATACAGATGTGCACTTACGAAATATGCTATCAGGAATTCTAAAGATGTTTAATGTTTTAAATGTTTAATGATATTGCTGTTGAACTGAGTTTTGTGGTTTAAGTGCGAAGAACGTGATATTTAATAAATAAAGGTAACACACAAAACGTTAGAAAAACGTCCCTTGCTTTCTGAATTTTTTTTAAATTTGAAGACTTAGGTGCAAGAGACATTTGAATCAGGGTCCTGGGCGATATCCGCATCCTGAGTAGAACAGGTAGCAATTGCATAACTTTTGCTAGCGAATGAGATTTTTCGTAATTTGTGTAATGGGACATAGGAAAACCGTTTTTAGTTGGTATGTTGTTACGCCTGTAAGATAAATTATTTCATCATTGTTCTACTGCGTATTTACTTAAGTACCAAATAAAGATTTTTTTTTTCCTTTTCTGTTTAGATGTGTTTGGCTGAATGTGTTTACAACGTTTCCATGAAATTATGTAACTGTGTCATTCCCAATATCATGTATTACCATGAAGACAGAATTTGTTCAGGAAGTAAGATATTCTAAGAAAAATTTTATGAGTAATGATAGATATTACATTTTATTAAAATTTTATCTAATTTACTGTAAAGAATGCATTAGCGCACATGTTAACATTACAGTTGTGGAGTTTAACAAATAGCAATCTGTTGCAATAATAATTGTCAAACTTAATTTTGTTCCACCATCATTTTGCGAGTAAATTGGATCATTAGTGAATAATAAATTTAATGATAGTAGTTGCTGATTGATGCTGAAATATTGTACTGAAGACATGGAATTTTATGCGGATTTTTTTTTTTTTTTTTTTTTTTTTCTCTTGTGGGGAGGGACTTTGCTTAGTTGCAAAAAGGAAGGATTTTGGTGAAAAGGGCCTTTCACAAATCGTATTCTACACAGTATTACATAGACAAGAAACACGAGAAGATCCCATACAATTTGTCTAATTCTGCTACTTTTTAATACATATAGTAAGAATGAACTGAGTTGAGACGTGTTTCTTTTTTAGTTAATAAATATCTGCGCAATAGAAAATGGCATCTTGAATTTTTGCACAGCATTAATATGATTATGCACTAGCATTCTTAAAAATTATAACACAACTAAGGTTTGGTGTAATGAAATGAAATTTAGGCAGTAGATTTTATTACCTATAAAATAAAAGGGGAATAGAACTAATAAGCAGAACAACTACTAAAAAATCATCATGTGCTGAATTTTACCACGTGAAATAACCAACTACACAGTTGCTATTTATTGCTAGAATTTATCCGTATTTAATACCCTTAAAATCAGATGAGCCAATTATTATGCAACTATATTTCATATAGTTAGAGGGCATGAATCTGACAAAAGTGCCATTCAGGAAAGGAGCATTTTCATGTGGAATTTAGAACTTGTTCCACTGCCACATAAAACCATATTAGAATTGATAAGGGGCATCTTCCAACTTTGATTTCGATACCCTGCAGATAACGCTGAGCCTACCTGAATGAAGTCACTAAAACCTGTGTTCCATCCAAAGATAATTAAAATAATAGATTTAGTTCCGTTGTTACAAGGTAACAATTGGGCTTTTTTCTTAAAAATTAGAAGTTAAATAGTACTTAAAAGTACTTATTAAATAGTTCTTAAAAATTAGAATATAATTTTCTTAAAACCCTCAATAATTAAATATTTTTGAGAGACCTTTCGACAACTACCTATGGAGATGACCAGTCTGGAATTGCAAGATTTCGAAAATCTCAGAAGCCACTTCCAATCTCTATTATAACAATATTCATCTATTTATTTATAAATGCCTGACTTTAGGTACACTGCGAAAAAAAAAAGCGACATTTCTATATCTCCCGTTCTACTGGGCCGATTGACGAATTTCAACTTGCGTTTTTCATGTCTCGAAAGCACGCCGTAGGATATATATTAGATTTATATATAGAAAAAATTTTTCTAATATAGGTATTTTGACAAAAACGACTTTTTCAAAATGGCATGCCATATTTTTGCTTATTTTGATTCTACGCTCAAATTATGCCAAACTGCCAAATTCTGTAAAACTAGTACGAGTAATTTTTAAAATAAACTTAAAATTTTAGCTCCTCAATGTTAATTGATTTGGTATATCATTATTAATATCTCTTTTTCTATTAAACTTACTTGATTCCATCTTCCTGGATTGGAAATTTAGGCTTAATCCAAATATAATTCGCCAATTTTTTATTATTGATTTTAAAAATTTGTATTTTTAAATATTTTTTATAAATTTTTTGAAAACATTTTTGTATTATAACCTATACAATTTTTAACATCATCTTAAAGGTAGATGAATTTCTAAGCATGTCGGAAAAAAAATTATTTTTGTTCAAAATTTCATAAGATATACATAAATTTACATTTTGACGCGTTTTGAAATTTGGCGTATTTAATATAAGGGATAATAACGAAAATGTGATTTACGCACGTTGCTAAGAGTATTTGAAAGAATGAATAATGGGCCTTTTTTTTTCTCGTGCATCAAAGAAAAATAAGGAAAGTAAGTAGGTTACTATAAATTAAGAATCCTGCCAAGTGAATTATTCTAGACGCAAACTGAAAAAAAAAAAAAAAAAAAAAAAAAAAAAAAAAAAGATAAATTTTTTAATTTCTTCCTAAATTTCTCACAAAAAATTACAAAATTGAATATTTAGGCATAATTTGAGTCGTAGAATCGAAGTATCGGGAAAAAATTGATATGTTATTTCAGAAAAAGTCTGAGTTTGTGCAAAATACCTATGTTAGAACACTGCTATATATAAATCTGATATATATCCTAGGCCACGCTTTCAATGCATGGAAAACACAGTTTGAATTTCGAATCGGCCCAGTAGAACAGGAGACATATGAACTGTCATGTTTTGCATCACTTTTGATGACAGAATTAAAGGTATTAAATGTAGAGTACGTGTTTAAATGTCCTTTGTCCACAGGTTGTTCAATGTTTCAGAGAGAACTGGAGAATTTCTAGATCTAATATAAAAGAAATGAGCATTGAGGCAATGATATCCAGTCAAAACACGAAATAACGCTAGAGCTATGGCGGGAAAAGAATCAAGGATCATATGCACTGTGGCAAGAGAGTCCCTTTTCACCTGAACTAAATGTGTGTAACAGTGTAAGATGGTAAGATATTTAAGATTTGAACCTGCCATACTGATCATTGATATGGCAACAATGCTCGTCAGGTTAATTTCAAAGTGATTGCCGCGGGACTGCCCGGGGAATGAAGTCTGTGCTTTCTTAGTTTATTATCTCGCCTTTCTGTGCTTGGTGAAGAACAATGACAGATACCAGCGACTAGTGTGTGGGTCATGAACGGAAGCAAAACAACGAAAATATGATACAGATGATGGATAAGTTTCGTGAATTCGGTTAGGAGTCATCAATTCATCAGACTTTGATCACATGAGGGAAGAACGTTTTGGGCGGGGATGTCTGAAGATTACATCTTTGGTCCATACTTCACTGAGGGTTCCGTGACCCAGGTTACTTATCTGGAGATGCTGAATGATTGCCTTTTTCGACAGCTGCAAAATGTGGGCATCAAGGAAACGATTCAACATCAGCATTAGTTCGTTACCAACACGATGGACAGCTTACCACTTCGCAGTTGCTGTAAGACCCAAAATCAATAGCCCTTTAACCTTGGCCGCCTGGAAGTCCGGGCTTTACAAAACCAGACAATGCCCTGTGGAGGATCATCAAATCATACGTCAGAAAGGAGCGGTGTGTGGACAATGATGCTCTGTGGGCAAGTGTGCTTGAAGTCTTCCCCCATGTGACATCGCAGCTGTTAAAGCGGATGAGTAGGAGAATATTATTAACTGTGAAATTATAATTAACTAAATTAACAATTATCTGTGAGAGTTTGGGCTGTACAATGAGCAATTGCATGTGTAAAAAGACTTTTTGGCTACCCTGTACGTTATCCAAAATAATTGCCTAGTCCTTTCCCTAGATTTTACGCACAGATTTGAATCATGAATCTTATTGAATTTTATATCTTTTGTTCTCTTACCAGAATGAAAGTTCATAAAATTTTTGTGTTTTTGGAGGACAGTCATTTTTCTTTTCCAGGAAATCTGCATTTCCAGGCATTTCGCAATGCATTGGCACGCACTGTAGTATTATTGAATTGGTATGAATATTCAAAAGATATTGGCTCTCGTAAACACATTTTGAGTCGCTAGTTCTGGTGCTGGCAAAACTTCTATCTGCATAGAGTCATCTAATTGATAATCAGTGCCTTTTGCGCGGTTGTTTCTTTTGTCTTCAACTTTATCCCGTGAAGTACAATAAAATAACTTTTTTCTTGCTCTTTTTTAATGTAGTTTGCTCAAAATCATAGGAATACAGGAAGGGAATTACATGTTTTTCCTTAGCTATGTATTATTTCTTTTGATTCTGTAATAAAAGAACCGCGATACCGTTACCGTTGGCACACAAGTAACGAGTACAAAGAGAAGAGAGAAACTGAGACTATTTAGGAGATATACATGAACCGATAGAATAATTAGGAGTAATGATAGGAAACCACGAAAGCTTCTTCAAGTTCGAAATCGTCATGAAATTATCTGAAGACAACCGCATTGTAGATGCCGAAAGGCTTTTTAGAAGTAATTAATTAATCAATACTTTACCCCATTTATTTTTTTATTTAAATTATTGTTTTTTATTATGTGGTTACATTATACTCTATAGTTTTGTAGCTATAACAAAATATTTTGTTATTATAAATTAACTTCTTTGAGATTTACAAATAAAATCACTACGTAGTACTACAATGAAAAAACAGTTGAGGAAGGATAAGTGTAAAATCGTGAAAAAGTAAGTAATAGGAAAACATAAACCATTGGATGTTCTAATACATGTGAATATTGATCTGAAATGAATATACATGTGAATGATCTACATTTACATACAGAATTTTTACTGTTCCGCATCCCCATGCAGAATAATATATATAATAAACTTAGAAAGCATAATTCATGTCAATAGTCAATATTCACATACATAACACGTGCGTATTGACCTGAAATTTAATGCATATGAATACTGACCTAGATTTCAACAGAATTGTTTCCGTTTAGAAATGAACATCTCCCTTTCATTTTCAAATTTTTGGGTGAGATATTCAGATAGAATACAAACGCACAGGTTATAGATTTGCATATCAACTAACTCACGAAATTCAGAACGTTTTTCACATTCTGCAGACAAATAAGTGAATATGTCTAGTTTCAATGTAATTTGAAAATGCCAGAGAATAACTGGATCAAATTGCAAAATATGGGTAATATGTAATATAGAATTGGTTTGTATTTAGAAACAATTTATTTTACATATTTGGAAAAGAAAATTTAAAGTTTTGAAAATGTTAAATAAAACTTCTTACTAGCTATGTACGGAAATAATAATATTATCGAGAATCATGATGTTAAATCGTGGAAAATGATAAGTAGGATGATTTAACTATTAAGAGCAAATCTTGAAGAAAAACCAAAAATCAAAAATTTATCTAAAAAACTGATAGTAACTGAGATTTCAAAATGTGTTATTAAAAGAATTAGAAAAAGTCGTATTAGTGTTACAATTTCATTCGCCTTTAAGCTTATTAACAAACTCTCTACATATAATAAAAGAAAGTGTCTGTGTGTGTCTTTCGTTCGTGCTGTGTGTAAGCTAAGAGAGAAATGTGGTTTGAGCAACAATTTTTCATTCATTGCTTTGGATACTGGACTGGACTTTTTTGAAAAATGAGATTTATTGCTTATTTCATTGTAATTTTTATATTTTTTAATTATATATAATTTTAATTATATAAAAAAAATTTGCCTGATTTTTTTTAAGAAAATAAAGTTTTGATTTTATTACATTTTATATATCTTTTGAGAGAATTAACATATTTCTTTTATCCTCTTCTTTTATATCTAGGTGAAATGGACTGCTTTGATTTCAACGTCTCGCAATGTTATACTGTCTGCCAACAACCCTGCCAGTAAGTAACTGCAAATAAAGAACAAAATAGTTTTTCTTTTTTTATGTTCACTGGGAAAAAATTTACCATCTCAGGAACATACCATCAATTTTATTTTACAGTAAACTGAAAGTTGATCTTTGCGGAAAATAAATTGTGTCAAGATTCGGCAGAAGTGGCCTGGCCTAGAAATTAAGTCTATCAGTTCCCTTATCGTCTTTCTTGATGAAGAATTCGTCTTTCTTCATCTTTTAGAACGATCATCTTATAGATAAAAAAAAAAAAAAAAAAATGCAACAGACTGTTAATGGCGAGGTCCGTTGGTAAAATTTCTCAGGCTAATTCTTGTAATTTCTGGGAGGGGGTATTGTCTTAAGCTGTATGCCAATATGCATTGTCTTGCAGAAGTCGAAGAGCAGATCTAAATGAATTTTTCAGAGATGTGCTTCGCTTCATAACAGTATCATTTAGGGATGATGGTTCTGCCCAATGGGATCAATTCACCAAGTACTACCACATAAATATCTCCGAAAACGGCAAAATAATTTTGCTCACGTGAGTGCTTCTTTCGGTTGATATTTAAGTACTTCGTTCTTCATCCAAGCCCGCATGTCTTTCACATTAACGTAGAGAATATATTCTGCCCTCTATTACGATGGAATCGATCACAGTGGTGCTGTGCACCTTCAATGTCTGTGCAAGCTTATATTCAATTATGTAATGCAATCCATAGCTCATCAACAACCTGAATCTGGCTTTGATCAAGGAGCATTCTTATATTTCGTAGCAACTACGTACCACAGTGTAATGTAACTTTTATTTTTTTAAATACTTTAGAAATATATTACTGTTAAAATATAACTTTGGTATCGGCACTCTTTATAACACAAAGTAACTAATATGTGGGCCTCACTCTTTAAAAGATAAAAAATAAATCATTAAATAAACTATAAGGAAATGTTATGAAGAAAAACTGGAAAACTAATTTAAAAGAACGATTGGTCTATTTCTGCAGTTTCTGTCTTTCTCTTTCCCTCTCGCATTATATCCGATCATTACTATGCGTTATCAAATGTCTTAGAAGCCCAAAAATTTATTCCACTAAGCTAAAATAGCTATACATTCATAGTTTATATATATCATCTCTATAAGAGATGTGTATAAATATCCGTGATTACGTTCTGATATTATATGCTATATCATCCCTTCGCCATTTCTTCTGATCCTGATCTTGGCTTTGATGTTGGTATACAAAGAGTCTTTATAATCTAAATTATTCAAACATTTCAATAAAAAGAAGAGGATTAAATTTTTTTTTTTGCTCAAACTCTAAAGAATTCATGCAACTAACAGTTTTACTTAAATATGCTCTAAAATCAAAAACTTTAGTTCGCGTTGGAGAAAAAGATCCAGACTGCTGATTGATTCAATGACTACCTATCGGTATGCTTCTTCAACGGATCAGAATGTGGAGATTTCACCACGTACTTCAACTTTTCTAAATTTCTCTGGGAATAATATAGCCGGGTTAAAATAATCTTAACTACTAGGCAGAGCATTCTATCAGGGGCTCGACGCCCAGTATCTTTGTTTTTTTTATCGATTTGAAGAAGCTTGGATGTCATACATCTATCTTAATAGAGTGTTAGCATGAGATTATAACACGGTTTTAGTAACTCAGTTTTTATTTAGAACATCTAGATATAATGGATTCTGAGAATTTCTCATAGATTTTTCTTTGCCACAATAA